GCCCACTAAGCTGATACTGACGAAAAAGTAAAAGTCAATGCAGCGCCATAGGTTTCACGGAGAAAGTGTTCCAAACCATGAAACTGTACGGGCATTCGACATCGCAATGGCTACAAACCTTGATTTTATCCCTTTGATGACTACGATTTAGTAGAGGCGTGAATGGGTCGCTCGCTGTTTGCCAACCACTCCCCCCGCCCACCCCCTCTCAGTAAAATTGTAATAACTCACAACAATACAGCAAGGGCGCTGTGGATAGCGACTTATTTATTATGTATCATATTTGCAATTTTTCAGATGATCACTGAACCCCATCCGTAGAACCAAGCACCGCTAGGAATAGCTTGTTAGTAAAGCTTAGGCAACGGTTGTTTAAGCCAGTTTCGCCTTCATACTAGTGATTTTAGCTAAACCTTGACCTTCAACGACAGCACATAATGACGGAAAAGCTTACATAGTGCTCCGCTTTCCATCCGTTTCCCCTGTTCGCTCTGCCAGGTCTTAAACGGTATCCATTCCAGAAACCGCTGACTCAGGGTGGAGTCCCATGGCCGAGCACCAATCAGCATGACGGCCAGCACAACGCCGCAGCTCCAGATGTCGGCTGGTTCAGGGCGCCACAGTCCGCTGATCATTTCCGGCGCCATATAAGGCTGCGTCCCGCGGGCGGCGTCCATCAGTTTATAGTCGCCCTGTTGGTTGACAAATCTCTCCGCCAGCCCGAAGTCGCACAATTTCAGCACGTCTAAAAAAACTGCGCGATAAATCAATGGATTTTTCGCCGAAATGTTGGACAGCAAGATAATGGAAGGAATGTTGATTAAGAAAAACCAGAGAAAGGCCATTTTCAAAATAAGCCACACTGTATCCTGTTAAACATATAAAATCTGTAAATCTTCACTGTTCTGTGTGAAGTGAATTGAGGGCATTGAGCTAATCAGTTTCCAACTCGTTTGATTTTCGAAAACAGGCGCTGCACTTTAAAGATGAAAGATTTAAACGCCAGTCCAGCTACAATTCCTTTCATTAACCGTTCGTTTCCTTGGACAAGCAATTCATCCCACTGAGTTTCAGGCGAATTGCCGAGAAACGAGTAGCAGGAACTGACCTGTTATGTGTGAATGTGGCTTACTTATTCCTATCGATTTCTATTCCCCCTTTGATGAGGAAACTAATTCTCTAAACTGATATCACGAAGGAGGTTTTTTGGCTACCGCGTTTTGATTCGGTTAATCGTTTAATTTCAGTAATTCTAAGATACACATATAACGCCACCCCGGTGTTCTAGGATGACGATCACAAATGGTAGCATTTCAGTTGTGCCCCTATTTATTTCTAGAGAATTCATTGAATCGACTCGACATGGTAACAAGCAAATAGCAAGCTTCAGTTTGTGGTACCTATTACTGAAAATCAGAGTGATATTTCTTTATATATCTGCCTAGGGTGTGGCAAATTGAAATGATAATCGAACGAAAGTTTGTTTAGCCGAATTCGGAGATTCGATCCTGCATTCAATTCACTGCAGATGTTGAAATACCATCGAGCCGTGGTCTGCCTAAACGGTGCTCTGGCATCCAGGATCAATGAATCAATATTGCATTTGGATATTGGTATGAGATCAGTCCTGGAGAAAGCCTTTGACCGAATCCCGAGACAAGTAATCTTGTGGAGCATGAAGAAAATACTGGTGCTAGAAAAATGTCAGACTTACCAAAGAAGAGATACATCGACAACAGTTGTTCGAGACATGCGGCAAAACGGAAGAATTCCCTACGCGGGTAAGAGTCCACCAAAGATCCGTACTGAGCCTATTTATGTTCTAGATGGCGACAGACTCGATAACTGTGGATCTGCAGAAAGCGGCTCCGTACTACATTCTCTGTGCAGATGATATTGTGTTATGCAGCGAAAGCAAAGGAACTGTAGAATGAAAATCCGAGGCATGGGAAGCCGCTGTTGAGAAGAACGAGCTTTGATTCAGCAAAGGCAAGTCCGAATATATGGCGGGCTATTTCAGTGGGAAAAATGTGTTGAAATCCGTTAAACCAGTGGAAATAGAGAAGTGCGTGCTGCCTCAAACTCAAAATCCAACTACCTTGGCCCCATCCTCAAAATAATGCTGAAGTCAACAATCGAAAAAAAGCTTGGCTCAAACGGAGAGAAGTCAGCGGGTTACTGTGCGACAAGAACATGCCCATCAGACTGAAAGGGAATGTGTACATAACGAGAGTAAGACCTGTGCTTCTGTGTGGAGTAGAAGATTAAGATTCGGCTACTCAGAAAAGATATGAGCAACAGCTGAATTCGGTAGAAATGCGAATGATCAGAAGGATGTGTGGGGTCAGCAGAAAGTACCATATTCAGAATATCTTCAGCAGAGGCATTTGAGGTGTAGCACCAATTTCAGGAAGGCTTATCGAGTGAAGGCTTCATCGGTTCGGTCACGTGAAAACAAGATCCGACAAGTGCGTTGGAACTGTAGTTGAAACACTGGTACTGAAATGGAAGGAAAGAAGGGAAGACCAAAGAGTAAGATGCACGGCATCGTGTGGAAGGATATGCAACTGCGAAGGCTCATCAAAAATTTAATCAAAGATTGATAAATATGGAAAAGGTTTACTGGATTAGCAGAATCCTGTTATTGGAATACACTAGGAAAAAGAAGATCCGGAATTGCGAACTGATTAAATAATTGTGAGTAATTTGTATAAGTACTCTGATAATAGCAACTCTTTAGGTTGGATCTATAAATATGCTTTTTGGCTCTAGGTGCCGCAACAACTGCTCATCATACAACCATCTGCTCAAACTGACCAGGATTACCGTGAAGAAGGAAACCCTTAAGAGAGACGAGCTCAAACATCAGTACTGTTTAATCATCCGATTACCCAGTTTATTTATTTGCGTTGTGTACCAATAAATCGTTTTTATGCATTTAATAATAGTTTCATTTTTTACATATAAAGGCAACAATTCTAACTAGCAATTGCATTTCACAAGAGACAAGTGCAGCTCTATTTTGCGCAATTTAATTTAGAATTGAGAACAGGAAGCCTGGAATGCTAGCATACTCTGTCGAGACGAACAGCCCTATTAGAGAATTCAATATTTTGAATTGATGCCTTATTTCGTTTTACAACCCAAATCCTTAAAACGAACTTATGAAACCTAAGCCACCACCAGCAACTGTATACATGCCCATGTTGAAATACTCATATTAATCCAAGTCTTGCCATAAACTGTATTGACCGGCGGCTATGGTGCTGTCATTGCAGCGTCATATTCTTATATACATGGGACCAAAACGATGGATGGCAACAGCTGATCAAGAAAGTTTTCCCTGTAGATTATCGGGCCGATGGATGGCATCCATAAAGTCCTAGAATTTATTTTATCCATTTGATAGATAGCACTGTCCAGTCATGACAGCGCCAGCCAGATATAAAAGCGATGGTGCTGAACTGGGATCAACTCTAGCGCTCGAATAACGTGCTTCAAAGGGTCAGTCCGGCGTTGAAGAGAAATATTGATCTTGGTGACATTTAGATTGTCTGCGCAATAGTGGATGATAAAATTTGCTCATTTCAACGGTGGTGCGTCTCACCCTGATATCCTCCAAGCAGCTGAAGGGGAGGATCCTCATTACAGTAGACCGGGTCGGCGCTCGGATACTATAATTAAAA